ATCCCCTCATCCAGATCATTGATAAAGATATTGAACAGAACTGGCCCCAATACTGAGCCCTGGGGAACACCGCTCGTGACCGGCCGCCAATTGGATTGAACTCCATTCACCACAACTCTCTGGGCCCGGCCGTCCAGCCAGTTTTTGACCCTGCGCCGAGTACACCTGTCTAAGCCGTGAGCCGCCAGCTTCTCTAGGAGAATGCTGTGGGAGACGGTGTCAAAGGCCTTACTGAAGTCCAGGTAGACCACATACACAGCCTTTCCCTCGTCCACTAGGCAGGTCACCTGGTCATAGAAGGAGATCAGGTTGGTCTTATTTGCCATTACACATCTGTGATCCATGACTGTTATATTACCAGTAGCTACAGGTTGCAGGGCACAATTTTTTTTTTATTTATTTTTTAAGAAAATTATAATTTAAAAAAGTAGAGAAACAGAAGATGAGAATGAGGAGAAATGAGGTTAAGTTATATATTGCTTTCCAAAAACATCCTAGAATCAAAGCTCTCTGAACTCTTAGCAAAAAGGTGAGTTTTGTAGCTACAAAAATTAGTTAGTATTTCAATCTTTATTACCTAAACATTACTTTTTATGCTATAATAGAGAATGTACATTTTTGCATGCATGTTTCTTAGCTCTCTAAAATGATTAACTTATTTTCACCTAATTAACCTAGGTACTATTTGAAATAGCTTCGAATATTTTTAGTGTTTCTAGGTTTTGTAATTTTTTTTGTATTGCAAACCAGTATATTTATAAGCTATTAGAAGAAGGGATTGGTACTTTTCATTAGAAAAATGTCTTTTGGTGAACTGTCACAAAATATCTTACTTGATTATCTTAGCATAATCATTGCTTATACAGTAAGAGCTTTTTTAAAACGTTAAAGTATAAGAGGTTGTTTGAGCCCATTCACACAAATACTGTCAATGACTTTTAGAAAACCAGTCTTCTGAGCTCTTGTTTAAGAAGCCAGCCATAGTTTTAAATTGGATAAAACTTCAGGTATATATTGTATTACAAACACAAAATCCAAGATGAGTATAAGCAAATAATTGGTTACACACCTCCCATCTTAAACATACTGTCAGTTAATTCTGCCAGAATCCTTCTAGGCCAGAAGCTTTTACTTATTAGATAGCATAGTCTTGTGTGCCACAATTAAATGCGTTTGTGTAATCAAGCAAATTATCAGACTTTGCATACCAGCACATAGTTAAATAGGACTTCCTATATACATAGACATCTGTAGACATCTGTGTAGACAAAATACACAGAATCTAAATTTCAGATTTACTGAACTGTTTGGGGACTTTAAATTGTGCACATTACAGTACTGAGGTACTGAGTAGTTCCTGCAGATAGTAAGAAACCCAGAATTCAATCTGCTCTTTATGGAAGCTCTAGTGAGTTGCCCACAGCCAGCACTGTTTGCAGGAACTTGGCCCTTAAGTAATGATCTAGAAATCAGTACACAATATTGAAATAAAGTTATTGATAAAAACAATGAAATCACTGATATTTGCAAGTAAAAGCTAATATGTAAAGGCCAAAGTTTTGGAAGCCTTTGTTGAATTTTATGCTGCAAAATTAAGCCATTCATTCAGATAACAGCACACATAGCTATCCTATTTATATTTTCCAAATAGATTTTGTGTCTGAGTTTTTAGAAACACACTCTTTAGCCTGGTATAGCACAAGCAGTTGCTGTATAAGCAGCTCACATGGCTTTACCTTAGCGTATCAATCCAGCCCGGACTGGTAACACTTTTTTTTTTTTAGCCCTCTTGTTAGCAGACAGCTGCCAATTCTTTGTAACGTCCATAAATGGATATTAAGAAAACACCAGCTCTAAAGTTTACTAAAGGAAGCATTTGAACCTCTCTCTCTCACTTAGTTCATTCTTTTACATCCTCAACTCTGTTGTCTGTTCTTAACAAATCTTAAAACAATCCAAGCTTCATATCATATTTAGATCATGAAAATCACCAGAACATTGCGTAATATCTTGTTGAAGGTGAAAATCTTTTGCATTCCTTACCTTATACCACAGAATTTCAGGCTCCCTAAATGGAAATAAAAAATCCTCAATTTCAGGGCATGAGATTTCCTTGCTTTTGCTAAGTTCAGCTTTTTCAAAATATTTCATCTTTGAATTGTAGCAGAGTCCAGTGTCATTTTCACCCACCGTCAGCGAAATGGACACTTTCATACAGTAAGTTGAGTTTCTGCAATGCAATAAAAATATAAATAAAAGTCAAATATGAAAAAAAAGTCAATTTATATGACATAGTTTTTAAGTCATTATTTTCATCTCAAGCATAAGATAGAAATTCAGACATTGTATTTTGTTTGTATTTTATAGCTCTTCATGACAATTTTACTTTTCTCAGCCATTAACTACAATATTTAGAAAGTGTTGGCCTTACTCTGTGACTAAAGGGTTATCTCTCCCTTTTGTCAAACTCTTTCTAACGTTACTGTCCTTACTGTATTTTTGAGGACAATTTCCCCAAAAGCAAATATGCAATAAAAGCTCTGTGCATTTACCAGTGAAACTAGACAACCAACTTGCTGACAGACACCATTACGACAGCTCTCAGGGGTGAGCAGATCATGTTACAGTACCACAGGCAAATGCCAAATTGGAACTTGGACACCACACCGAGCGCCACACATCACATCTGAGCGTGCTTTGATGTAGAAGTGGTAACCTTTTTGTAGCCTTTAATTAAAATGAATCTTGTGACCCTTCCAATTATAGAATAAAGGATGTTTTAACCTAACAGACTGATAACTTGTTTACCTTAGCCTTCAATATCCATACTCCCAGGCCAAAATATTGCTTCTGCATTACCTACAGTCTTTATCAGTTTGGGCTCTCTCCTGAAACTTGTTACTTCCTGTGCTGCTGGATGTTGATAAGCCAGGCAGCCAGAGACTAGGGAACATTGCCTTCCTTCCCACATTTCACTATGCACTTTAATTAGGCTCAAAGACAAGATTACTTGAAATGATTTTTTTTTTTTTTTCATTCAAGTTTCCGGGCCGGCAGCAAATGAGTGTGTAAAGTTGAGTACTCCCCAGGAACACGCTGTGACAATGCAAGGCTTCTCTCCTACTGTTTTGTAAATGCATTTGACCTCTGATCTGCTGAAAGAGGATCCTGCAGAGAGCACATTAATTTTCTTATTTCCATTCTCAGACTCTATGAGCTGATTGCTGATTTACAACAGTCTTGTGTTTATCGGGCATGGCAAAATCTCAAAGTTGGCTATATTTTCTCCTTATCTTTAGATTTCTTAATATCTGTTTCCTTAAGAACAAAGAATAAGAGGAACTTCATTCAGAGAACTCTACAGTCCAATGGAGTTGGAGAAATATTCTTAGAAATTGGAGAATATTCTTAGAAATGTAAATTCTGGAATGGAATGGCCCTTAGCTATCTAGCTAATTCATGGACTTGTAAGGAAAACAAACACAAAATTACTTCCTTATAATGAAGCTATAAGTATCATTTATTACCCCATTCAAGAATCTGGCTGTATAAAGCAAATAAAGTTGTTTAAACTTTATGCAAAGCAGAGAATGCATCCACTGAATATGGATCACTCTTGCTGCTTTTAAGCTGTTTAAGAGCTGATCACCAGTCTTACCTGTACCTGCAATTTAAAATCATTCAGTATTTTAAAGAACACATTTTCACTACTGTACATTATGTTATTCCTCCATTAAGGTGTTACTTGGAATATTCATTTATTATGTGGCTTGAGAACATCATAAAAAGTTACCTAAGACAGTTTTTCCAAATTGGTAATATTCTCTTTCTCTGTTCTTGAGATACCTATCCCTTGGAAATAGGGAGAAGGTCTAAACAATCCATCCAGCTCTGGGGGTCAAGAGTATATTAACTAGATGAGAAGACTCCACTATTTGATGATAGGAAGCAATATATAGTGAGGTACTAGCTATTTAATTTGCACATTTAAATATTCTCTTTTATTCCTTTCCATGTGTTTGAGCATTATGTTGTGTTCATATCACTGAATCTCATGATTTTAAAATTTCTAGAAGGAGCTTGGAGGGGGAAAAAACACAAAAAACCCACTTAACTGTCATCCCATTCTTTGAAGAAGCAAGCTAAGTAAAATTATCATATAAGTTTTTTTGTCTTCCTTCAGTATTCAGAGTGAATTGACCAAAAAATCTGATTTATGTTTTGGTCTACTAAGAGCTCTGTTCTGAAACAGTGGCAACGTCAATTGCCAGAGCTGGAATTCCTTCTGAGGCACATCCAGGTTTCCATCGCAACAGCAGATTCTTTACCAGATGCAGCTTAGGCTTCCTGGTCCATAAGAAGAGAGATATTTTGGAAATATCTCAGAATGTTTAAACCCATTGTTTGAACAGGATGTTGGTATTTAATGACTCAGTTGTGTGTGTGTGTCTGTGATTTGAGTCCTATGGATATAAACCTCCTGCAGACAGAAGCACAAATTGACTGGGCTTTAAGGTAATTATGTTCTAAACTGTCAGATATAAGGTACTGAAACATTTTGGGCGGATACGTCGTCAGCTGAGTTCCCTAACAGAATTTTCTCTCAAAAGCCAAAAATATCATCATAAGAACTTAAAGGTCCTGATGTCCCCTGGTGACACAGACTTTCCTACTGCAACTTTAAATACTAACTGCACTGTCAGTCTGACTCATCTCGTACACTGTGTCAGAAACCAAAGCTGTTGGGATGAAACAAAGCCCAAAAAGAATTATATAAAAGGCAGAGCAACACAAACAGTATGAGCAAAGGAAAACAATTTAATGGCCTCACAGAACAGAAAAAGAGAAAGAAAATTAAACAGAAGACAAGATGAGTTTGCTGATTACAGCTGGAGCATTATGGATACAGTTGATGTGGACCCCTTCAGCTAGCAGAAAATGTAGGAGGCAGCAGAGCCCTCCAGCAAGTATGCATATACTGCAGAGGGTAATAAAAGTTCATGTGTTAGAACTAAGAAAATTTTCAATATGTCTCTTACTGGAGGCACCAGATCAATCAACCAACCAACCAAACCAATCTATGTGGTGAGTTCAAGGAAATATTATAGGTCAATGGAAACTCAATGTTACATTCATTATTAAGAGAAAATGATACAATCAGGTTTTTTCCTTTTATTCTCCAGTGTGGTTCAAACTGTGGACCTTTATCACTAGGCAGCTACACTTCAAAGCAGTACCAGTCTAAAACCACAAATCTGCAACAGCTACTTAAGTAAAGTTCAGGCAATGAAAATCACACAGGTTATGAATACATTGTAGAGGGTTTACTAGAACTGTATGTGTTTCCTCTTGTCCACAAGACTAACTTGCTTATGAGGACTAGGAAAATATTCATCCACCTGTTACCACTGATGAACAAAAAGTATGTCATATGGTACAACAGAGGCTGCTCCAGTGTTTGACATGGACCCATGCGGCCATCTTCACCCTGACATGTAATTTATCCACTACTCGTCTATAAATGTTAAAGTAAAAACAATATGGCAATAGTATCTACTTAATATATTGATTCCATTATAGGTCTTTTATTTTTGTAGCCATTTATCATCTTTAAAATTTTAGCACCCAGTAGCAATGGATGTGTGATTGAATCCTTGATTACGATAGGACAGAAAAATGTATAAAAGGCTTCAATTCTCAATGACTTCTGTATCCCAGTAGTAGTTGCTCTAATGCCCAGCTTTCCACAGTTCCCTTGAATCAATGGTTCACCTTTTCTTATCTGATATTATTTAACCTCTTGGTTGTACAGCAGCCATGTGAAAGCATATAGAGCACTGACTAACGGGAGTCTGTTTAAATAAGAACAGATGACTTCTGCTTTTCACCCTTTTCTCTGCTAAAAATGACACCCACCTCACCAGTTCATCAGTACCTATTTCACCTTAATGTTAGTTGATCTGCAACTGTCATAAATGTAGGTTCATATAGGAAATCTGTCTATGGGATACCTTGATATTCAGGCCCTGTGATACAGAAGAGTGTGACAGTGAAGAGTGGAAAAGCTTTATGCAGAGAACTAGAAGAACATGTGTGCTGGTTTTGGCTGGGATGAAGATACTATGAAGAAAATGAACTCTATCCCAGCCAAAACCAGCACAACATGGTTAAGTTTGAGTTTAAGTTTCATTTGTAAAGAAAACAAAAGTACAGTTGAGTAAAGAGGAGATATTGATGAAAAGTAGAAAAATGTAGGTTAAAAAAACACAAATACAGCCACATTACAAAATCTCTTCCTTCTCCAGACAGTGACCCAGAAGTCATACCAACACCCTGAAGACTCTGCTTAATTCATGACCGAAGTAAGTATTTTCTAAAATAAGATAAATGGTTATTTACAGTCCTCTGAGATTCTCAATTACTATATACAGGTATATCTCCCTTAAATTAAATGGAATTATAGTAACTTGTAATAGACGGGTCTATGCAATACTTTACTCTTACAATCAAATTCATTAGGTAGGCTGATTTTTGAAAAGCTTAGGATTACAATTAACTATTTCTACAAAACAAACTTAAAACTTGAAATAATTATTAGCAACTGAAACTGTTTTATGATTATCACTCATTCATCAGCTCAAGGAATTGCAGTACTTGTTGCTATTTTAAAACTTCATTCTTCATATCATGCAATTAGAAATTAAAGTGACCCAGTAGAGTAAAACTTGTCATCTACCTATGTAAGCCATGCTTTAACATCAGTATAATTACCAACAATAATAACATTATTAAAAGGTTTTCTTCAATTGAGCTTTTTTGCTGAAGAACCTCCTGACATTTTGAAGAAAAATATTTCTTTTCCTTTCTCTGTTCCTTTTCTCTGTTTGAATTGACATCCACTTCAGGATGTTCTTTCTTTGAGATGTAGGCTGGAAAATACACATAAGCATTTCATGTTTTTTCTTAATTGAAGAGAAGGTGGTCCAAGTAGAAGAAAACAAAGGAATACCTCTTGCATTTTAGGTATCTAGTCCAGAAACATGTCCCATCTTATTCATGTGGATCTCTACACAAAGGTAAAAAAAAAAAAGGCAACAACAAAAAACCACCTAAAGGAAAGACTGTGTGGAAAATTGTGGGACTGTCCTGCTAAAGTATGTCTCCATTGTTGTTCATATCTAGCAAAACAAAGACTCTTGTGAAGTTTATCACACAATACCTATGATATCA